AACTCAATACGGTCACAGAACCAGGAATCGGGGATTTGAATGCACTTCAGCAGACCATGATTTGGAACGAAGACCATTGTCTAGATATCGCTCCCGGACAGTATAACAGGGCCGAGAGCTTATTATTTGATACTTATGCGGAGGAGCTGTCTTTTCCTGAAATTCATCTTGGGGTAGGCCGTAAGACCACGTCCAAGGATGCTGCAGATGTTCGAGCAACGCCATATAGTTTATGCATGTCTGAAGTACGGAGGAGTGACAGACGTGGGGTTGTTCCCCAACATGTTCTTTACATGGCCATGAAAATCATGCGTCATCGAGTGAATGATGGTATTCAAAACATGTATCGATGTTTAAGAACAACAGAGACCATAACTAGGAGAATGTTTGAGGACCGTACTTTCGTAGAGCGCTTGATCGAAACAAATCAAGCCTTCTTGAAAACGATTCCCAATTCTGTGCTGTATTGGTCGCAACGACGCAGAGATTTATTCGCAATGATGCGGCAGCTCGGGAAACCGACCGCATTCCTCACGCTGAGCGCGAATGAAACACGATGGCCATACCTAGTCCGAATACTCCATCGGCTCTCAGATGAATTCAAGTCTAATGAGCTGATTGACGACACTCTCAGAATCTTAAATCTTTACCTCTGGGGGAATACCGTTGGCGTATATAATAATAACTTCAATAAAATCATAACACAATAACTTCAGACGTTTTCACGCAAATATGCGGTAGTAGCTCGCTACTAGCTTCGGCTTTTTTTTCTTCTCCTCTGTAATTCAGTGTCCTTCCGCGGCTTGAGAGCAGCAGAGAAATTAGAGCCATCTTCTGGATCTGGTTGGTCGCAGTCCTTCGCGAGCCCAGCTCGCTTCCGAGGGAGGGTCCTCGGCTCGATTTGATTTGGAACTCTCAAGTAAATTCGGGAGCACAGCAGACAAGAGACCGGACCAGAAATCACGGAGATTCTTTGTCGTTCCCCCTTCTCCCGGGAAGGAATCTCGCGGCACATCTATTGATCGAATCCCCAGGTCGCCGCCTCCGTAATGATCTCGTCGGCAGTCCATCGTTCCTACCACGATATCGCCGACGGGAAAGAGAAAAAAATAGAAGAATCATTTCGATTCACGTCGAAGTTCGGAATGCCTTCAGAGCATGGAGAATCTTCCGTGCGAGGTGGAATATTGAGAACTCTGAGGTTGGTCCGGCAACCAGACTCGATCCGACGAGTATCGAATGTGAAACGTCCGATTCGAAGCAGGAGGGCCGCAGTTGCTTCTTTCTTGGCAATACTCCGAGCGGCAGCGATCGATTTCCATCAAGCCCTTTACCCCTTCAATTTCTCCGGGGAGAAAGGAAAAGACACCGTCGACGGGAAACGGAGAGCGGTAGCCAGCGAGGCAAGCAAACTTCCAACTCCATTGCCGACTCCTTCAAACAACACTCCTTCTCGCGAGTGGTGCGTGCGATTTCGAGAATCGAGGAAACCTCCCCGTCGGAGAAGAGTGCCGTGAGTTTATACAGAACAGATTGAGACGAACAAAATGTATACGCAGGGATCTCAGAAGGCGGGGGCGTCCTAGTTGACTCGATTTGACCAGTCGACTCGTCCCGTCAACAAGACATATTGAGAAGCTGACGGGCTGGTGCGGACAGCGACATCATTATCTTGGGAACAGACAATTTTTTATCCGGGAGGCATCGATCAACATCAAAAAGTTCTGCTTCAAACACGGAGTTTGACTTTTCCATTAAGCGGCTCTGAGGATTATCGATGGCTCAAGCCTTCTCAGTCCCCGTGAACACGACCATGTATCGGATAGAGATAACACGATCCATTGCCACAAGTCAGTTAGATTTCGGAACATCCCATGAGGCGACTAGGGCGTCTAAAGAGCCAATGGCGGGGACAGAGGTCGCTGGCAAGTCGGAACACAGACACCCTGTTTCACAAATCCTCGCTCCCCAGAGGCCCGGGGAGCTTGGCGTCCGATGCCTCAGATTGATGAAAAATCGACCCCCTGAACTATCGAAGAGACTGTTCCGTTTGGTTTGAGGACGTGGCTTGGAAGCTATAGAGCGATCAAGTTGGCGATTCGAGTCGACACCCGATGAGCAAATATTGATTCAGAACTTCATCCGCTTTCCCGCCTGAGTCCGTGCGCGGGAAGTGATCGGCAGCGCGTCGATTTCACCCCGACTGGATCCCGTCCGCTGTCAGCGCCAACGAA